TTTCGTCTGTTTTTTCGAGTTTAAAAAATGTGAGCTGGCTGGAGCCTTCATCCCTTGTCTATTTCTTACACTAGAATCCAGCCGATACCCCCCCCCCCCCCCCGCTCATAGAGACTGCGTATTACAGTTGATTGTAGTTCCTGGGCTCCCTGTGGTACTGGTCGATTTATTTGGATTTTCAGACCGTCTGTTGAATCTTCGGACGTCTGCATATACGTTTCCTGATTAATAATAGAATATCAGTTCATCTCAGTTGAAAATGTATTCCCCCGAACTCTACTTTCGTATTTACCTCAGATCTGTAAATTTGTAAACACATCAGCGTCCGATTCCCGGGGATTTCCCTTAGCCTTGTTAATGTTCATATTTGTTATCATGTAAAGTATTGACTATTATCATGCAAATGAGTTCCACGAACTCAGCGTGAGCGAGCAATACTCGTTAACATACGTATTTTTTAAGCTATGCCATGTTTGTCATGCCAAAATAAGCCCACTTTTTTGTTAACATCCGTAGTAACATCTCATAAGAACGAAACTGAAGAGTATAACTACTAACGTGATGTCTGTTTTACCGTGTGACGATCTTGCTACAGACGGAGCTGTCGTCGATTTCATAGACGGGTCCGAGCAGATGAGTGTATTCACCGACGTCAAACCCAAAGGTAAGCGTTTCGAGTCAATTAGCAAGAACTGCACTAACTAACAATATATACATGATATTGGTGAATAAGCTACACTTATTGAATAATGTAATATAATTCATAATTCCAGCCTTTCTCGCCTGGGCGTCAGGTTCACAGTAGTTTTTCAGACACATCCTGGTTGACAATATGCGCCATTTTGAACTTTTTTGCTGTTCAAAGTTCTTATGTTCATATAGAGGGATTTCTTACCTCCATGTTTGTCTACATATTTTTGTGGTTTTCATGTAAGGTTGTTCAGAGGAAAGTTACATTGACATGTGAGTGGAGTTATTTGTTTCATTTGCCTTTGCTGTTTAACTTCAAGTTCATAACGAGTGGTATATGGCAAACCTCCCGGATATATACACTTGTAGTTTCATTGTAGGCACTGCTGTTCAAACTAGGGAACCAAGAAACGTAATAGCAACTATAAGGTGTTGACTTCAGAAGTTTATTTTGTGGCTCTGGGTAGTATGTTTCACACTTTACAACTTCATTGTCATTGATTAGTTTACCAATTAAATTTGAAACTGTGGCTAAAGTTGTTCGTGGCTAAAAATTACAAAAAATATAGTTAAATAATAACCAGTACACAACTAAAGGGACCAGGAATCTATATTTCCTGAAAAACAAAAACAAAACAAACAGGAACAACACTGATTTCCAAGTAACTCGCTAGCAACCCAAGTTTATTATCAAAAATGTGATCAAAACAGCGTAACAAACAACATGCTTTTTGTTAGCCACCAGTTTTTTTTCACCCGCACTCCATGTTTCAGACAAGTAAATCATTTGAACCTGAATATCAATGAACCTGCTTATATCCAAATATTTATATTAACAATAAATAATCACATGAAAACTAGATACCCAGTAACAACTTCTGGGACCCCCCCCCCCATACTTTGTGGCAACATTGTTGTAGCTTACTTGTGTATTCCTGTTACAACTTTTCACAGTACAGTAGTAAGATCAAGATGACAAATGGTATAGATATGTTGTTTTCATAAAATATTTTTTTTTATTAACTATTCTTTAGTTCTGTAAAATGAATAAACTGCACCCACATTTTTTTTCAAAAGATGAAATTACAAATTTACATAAACTTTCCTGCTCATATCATATATATTCTGTTCTCTAATTGCAAATAAAAAATATTTCCTCACATGTGAATTCTTATTGGTGTAATATTGTTTTATCACATCCATTTTAACTCAATACTGATCGATGCAACTACTGGCTTGTTGTATGATAAATATATAATATTTTGAGATCAAGATAATAAATTATATAAATTGGGAAAAAATCCAGTGATTCCCAGAAATGACAATAGTGCAGAGCTATCAAATTATTCCCTCTCCTACCCTCAAATATCAAATGGTCTAATCCATGTTTAGTGATTCCCAGTACTGCATATGGTAGGAGCAATCAAAACTTGCTATCGTATAAAATGTTGTGAATATTTCTTCACTTGTAATTGTTATGTATTTGATTCATGGACAATTGGTCTCACAAGCAGACCATTATAGGAGTCTGTGACTTGGTCAATGCACTGAGAAATAAGTCTGGTAACATTCTGGCAGGTTGCATGCTTGGAAGCGATTATTCTGGCAAGCTATAGATAAAGTAGATGCTACCGAGGTGCTAAGAGAACAGACTTGGTTTGCTTTCTTTTGATAAATACACAATTTGTTCTCATTTTTGTATTTTATTATGCTTTCATTTTGTCTTGCCATTTTGAATGTATCTGAAACTTTATTGTATTTTAAAAATCTAGATTCTAAACAGGGTATGATTTCAATAAAGTTATTATTTGTGATATGAACAGAAAGCAGAAAAATATTTAGGTTATAAATTACTAATTTGTCAGGGTATGAATGTTTTCCCATAAAAACTGTAAGGAGGAAGTATAATTGAGCGAATGTGAATAGATGTAATATATTAGGCATCCATAACATGTGTAGTGAAACAGATGACTGTTCACTTTTGGTCATGAACAATTTTGCTTTCCGTATTTTTCCTCTTCATGCTGTTTATATGGTAGTACTTTTAGCAGAGAAGTGAAATGAAAGTGTGTCTGTTAGTTTTGGATTCGTATGATAAGACAGGATATGTGTAGTTATCCTGAAAAGTATTCATGTCTGTCAACTTTCCTTTAGATAATAATTTGATGGTTTGCAGGGAATTTCATCGCCAATCTTTGGTATTTTGAAAGCTGATTAGCGTCCCAGGCCACAGAGTATTCAAATGTCTGCATTAATAATCATCATAAGCTGAGAGACAATAAACATGAACTGAAATAAATGAGAAAGTCATAAAAATTCATTTGAGGCTTGAAAACCCAAATAATTATTTACTATAATGTAGATCCAAGGATATGGGAGATACAATCTTACCAATTACTATTTCCTGACAAGTTTTTGCGATGTCTATGTGATGTCAGAATGCTAGAGTATTTGAAAAGCAAACATGTTTTTGTTTTACCCAGGGAATTCTGGGTAATATAACCTTTATATAGCCTTCTGATACAGAGGTCATATCACCCTCTATTGGTCAACAAAATATTACTTTCTTTTTTACAATTTTTACAATCTGACACAGACTGGCACGTCTCGGCGAGTGTATTTTCCTACTCCCAAATGAAATGTAATTAACCATTGAGTGCCAGTGCAATTGTTTTTTTTTATAAGACACTTTTTATTCCCTGTCGTTAACCATTATGTAAACAGTACATTGATGCATTGACTTTATTTGGTGTATAAAACTGTAAAATATTTAATTTTCGCTATTTTCGCAATAATTCAGTGAAAATAAAATCTAGCAAATATACCTTTATGAATTCCATACAAAAGACCCAAAGAGTCTTTTCAGCAAAAATAAATTCCAGCTAAAATAAAGTATTTTACAGTAATCTCAATTTTTGTTCATTGAAACACACATGTCAAACAGAGATGGTCATTCCCATGAATGGTTTGACATAATGGAGATTTCGTAATTATAGCTGATGTTTAAAAATTATAATTCTGTTGAGGAAGTTCATAAAAATTATTTAATTTTCTTCTTAATTTGTTTAAACATTGTTACAATAGTGAAGACAGTTGAGCAAATTGCTGTGAAATTGTTGTGCAATATGTCCAAATCTGTATGGTTGCAGGTCCTGTGAAACAAAATATAGAGTTTGTCAATTAAAAGTCATTGCAGTACTTTGTATTGGAACAAACTGGGAATGGATGGGGAACTCCCCCATAAATCAGAGCCACTGATTGGCCAATCTGAGACTTCCTCTTTAGTGGTAATTTCTATTTATACAAATATAACACGTCAGAGTTTCTCTTTTACAAAATTCCTCCCAAAAAAGCAGCAAGTGTTTCTTGAAATCAACATTGGGCATGGCTTGTCTAAAATTCTGGCCTTTATTTGTTTCCAATCCTGTGTAAAATTTCCAGACTTTCTGTAAAATTTCTTTCTAACATTTATTTTCCATTAGTTTAAAGTGGGAGGGTTGTCACCTGCGCACGCGTGGGAATTGAGTCCCAATCAACAATAACAACACATGCTAAAAATGCAAAGGCTCATGGGTAGATGCTTGTTTGTAAACAATGACATTAGGTTATTATTATTATTAGGTAACATCTTTTTCTTCCAAGATACATCATGGAAATGTCGAAATCCAAAAAGTTAAGAACAGAATCAGTGTACTTCCGGCCAAACCCTAGTGGCAGCCATGTTTGTTTTATTATTAGAGGACACTTACACATGTAATCATTCCATATTTGGAATTCGCATTTCCTAATATGGTAGGATGAAAATACCCTGTAAAATACAGCAAAAATACAGTACGTTGTAACTTATGGCGTTATGATGACAGATGTATAATAATAATAATAATGTTTATTGCATCTTTAGAAATATAGTATTTCAATCAGTACAGTAGCAATAAAAGTATAACAAAGTATAAAAAGAATGTAATATTAAAGAAAGAAAAAATATTATAATGTTAGGCTTCAAAGTAATGTGTTGAATATAAAACGCTATTTTAGCTGCAGTTTCCATAAACCCTAATGAAAACACATTTTCTTGTTAAAACTCGCTAAAAATATTGTCAATTTTTTAATACTTATAGTCATGAAAAAGTAACTTGTAACTTCAAACATCGCCACGTCACAGAAATAAATTAGTCAAGAATATTTAGTTTACACTTCAATGCCTACTTTGCAGATCCCTTCATTTGTTCAATGACCTGACAGCCATTTTGGAATTGTTGAACACTGATGGCGCTACTCACTTCGTGTTTCACAGTGTGAAATTTTCTCAGATATTATTAGACCAATGAAAAAAAAAATGAGTTAGGGTTAGGGTTTTGTTTCGTTTTGTTTCGTGGAACAGAGTAAGCCCTATAGACTCACACTTGTAAATTGATCATACTTTATTATTGTACCCATAGTATCTCATACATTCCTGAGTAAGTCATTTTCAAATGTCTTCACATGTACCAGTACTTATGCACATGCATTGTTTTTACAATCCAATTCAAGATTGGTGAATGGGAGCCATTGTAATATTACATTAAAATCAAACTTTTCTGCCATTCCATAAATACCAGTTCTGTTTTTGCATGTATAGTTGTTTCAACTTGATATACATACATAATAAGACCCTAAATACCTCAAATATTATATCAAGTGGTACATACAGTACATTGATTATATAAAAATATAATGATGTAGATGTCACTAAAAATATTGTCAATTTTTTAATACTTATAGTCATCAAAAGTAACTTGTAAGACACTACATGTATATATCTTTTTTTCAACATGCCATAGGAAACAATGGTAAAATGCTCTAAAATAGACAAAAGATGCTATTGCACTGAACTGAACTGAGTATGGTCACTCCATATTTTATTTTATTTCTTAATCCTTGTAACAAGGTATATCAAGTATGTATCAATAAAGAAAATGATGATATTTTTACTTCTCTGTAGTATTCTACCTAAAGTTTCACTTATATCTTCGAGATGGTTAATTTTTACCACCTTACCTAGTCCCATCTCCACAAAGAAAAATTATTAAGATTCCACAAAGTATGCACTTCAACAGGAAAATGCATGGCAGTTGTCATTCCATGCATGTGTGAGAACATGTGTTGACAAATAGTGATTTTCCCACAATCCATTGCACTCATTCTATGACAAGCATGAATGCAATATTTGATTTGATTGTGATATGCATTAAATAGTAATTTTGACTCCTTAGAGTCCTTTCATTGTTTCCCAATCATTTTAGGATTTGCTTACTTTAATAACTTTCCTCAGAGTCCCTGTCTTTGTTAATATAATACCTACCAGTACATCTCATGTATGCGATGTGACCACCTTCAAAGGCTATGCAAATGAAACACCTAAAATAAAATTAAATCATGTGTTTATTGTTTATGATCTCTTTCTCATTGTTTGTCTTTTACTTTTCCAGTAATTATAATTATTTTATTTTTACCTTGCCTGTATCATTAAATGAAGGAAAAAGTTATTAAGAGGGAAATGCCTTTCCTTCTTCCTTCTTCCTTCTTCTCATTGTTCTTAAGTTTGTTCGAAAGTCTTGTTTCTTGTGGTTGCAATAACTCAATTTAAGTGTGACTCATTTACAATTAGTGTAAAAATTTGGCTAAAATAGCTAAAATAATATTTATACATAAAAATAAGCACAGAAATGAAATCATTTAAACTGCTGATAAAAACCAGATGTAATTACTACCGGTATACTCTCTTCTAGATTTGTTACTTTGAGTCAACATATATGTTTATTTCCTTGTGTAGTGTACTGTCAATCATTTTTCACCAAAATTTTGTTTAGATATACCGTATTACTATACTATTTAAAAACTTTTATCCCATTCATGTAATATTTTATAACGAACCATAAGATTAATGTTATTATTCTTAAAGGGACTTGGGGATTAATACAGAACATGTACTACTGAAGGTATGAATTGTTATTATACAAGTATTAATACACCAGTATTTATTATTTACATCCTCATGGAGTCGGATATTCACTGATGTGATGAACAAATCAGTTAGTCTACATATAGTTTCCATTACATTGTATATAGTAGGTATTGCCAGCACACTTAGACAAGTATTTATCTCCCAAGTGTTTTCCTGCTGCAATTTCCTGTAATATATTTGCTGCACTATTTTTAAGTACTTTCATACGATTCATCTCATATTCTCTAAGGAACCATAAGATTAATACTGTACATTCAATTTTAACAGAGAAACAAGAATATTCATTAATTTCATAAATGATAATGACCTCATTGTTCTTCTATATATGCATAATACATCATGATATATGTATATACATTATAATAATAATAATAATAATACATTTATTTATTTACTTATTGACTCTTACACAATCACCGGAAAGAAAGGGAATGGTCACAAGGTACAAGAAAAAAAAAAGAGAAAACAATGTTAGATAACAAATACAATCACTAAATTACTAAATAATACAAAATCTCTAAAATACTAAATAATGTAAGATTATTAAAATATGGAAAAAATAGGTAAAGTTTGTCGTAACAGAAAAAAAGAGTAAAAGTTAATATTACTGACAGCAGGCATTAAAATGTCAAGTAAAATCCTGCTTCCTGACTTCAAAGCTGTTACTTATGAACTGTGCTACTGGTATAATAATGTTTTCATTCTGTAGCAATTCCATGAATTTTTTCTCTGCAGGTTTATTTTCAAATGCTGTGATCATATCCTTAGCTTTAATAAAAAAGATTGGTACAAATCTTGAGCAAAGTGATCAATTGTTTCATTAAAATCAAATGTTTTTTTTTGTTTATTTTTTACAGATTTGAATATGAAAGGGGGTTACAGTTTTAATGATTTGAGTAAAGAAAAGACAGTAAAACATCACCACTGCAGTCGTAGTGTTTGTTTATCAACGAAGAATGAAAAAAATGACAAGAAAAAGGGAAGAATAAAGGCCGAGAAAGGATACAAAAGAAATCCATCTGAAGAGATCAATGGGGTTAAGAAACTTGAAGGCTACATGAGAGATGTGAATGGGTATGGAGTGAACAACATCAAAAACAGTCAGTTCTATGAGACTGTGCCTGTTAAAATAACAGTACCTATGGAGAATATAGCAAATAAATTAAATACAACTGAAGCCACCATACAGAATAGAGAACCAGATACAGTTATTAAGGTCAAGGTTAATATGGTTATTATGGATGAGGATGGTCAGGAAGTGAGGAAGACCATTAGTGATGTTAAACGAAATGCAAAAGTAGACAAATATGGTATTGGCATAGTGGATGGTGTTGGCATAGTAACAAAGGTAAAGGAGAAAAGCAGTTCAGATTTTTGGAAAGACATCAAAGCTGCGGATGAAAGTATTGATGCAGTCACTGAGATGATGGAAAGAGCTGAGATAAATGATGAGGGACCAGCAATTAGGGAGCCAGTTGAAGACGATGAAGATGATGCAGCTTACCATGTGTATCAGAGACATGGTGAAGAGGAGTCGATTGTAACAATCACGCCAAAAATTGTCGCAGTTATGGAAACAACTGACAACGAACCCAACAGAGTAGATGATCCCATTGATTGTCTGAGTGAATCAATCAGTCAGGTGAATTTGAGTAAAAAATATGTACCCCTGGAAAAGCACTTAAAAAAAACTAGAAATAAATGTATTAAAGACAGAATTGGAGTTAATTTGAGATATCCTGACAACAAAGAGAATTTAATGCTGGCAATGCGTGGTGACAGTGATACAGTGACAACTTCGCCCAATGATGAAAAAGAGAGCAATGTCACCCCACGAGGTATAAACAATGACAGCGGACAACAGTGGGGCAACAACACTACCCATTTCTCGTTTACTGGAGCGTCACGAGCAACTATGTATCAGCAAAATCACTATGTTGGACCTTTCCCGAACTCAATGATGCCAGCTGATCATCAAACATACAATGTAGACACTCAATATCAATATATTCAAAGCCCAACACATCATGAGCCACTTCAGTCTTCACATAACATCCAACAACATTTTAGTCCTGAAATGCAGTATAATGGAAACTTTGTCATTGATTCTCAGTATCTAACCCAACCACCACAACCACATCAGCCGCACAAGCGTGCACTGAACATAGACCCCCTAGAAGAAGATCGCTCTAAGCGGCTATTTGTTGAGGAACATTTGCCAGAATTACCGGTAAGTGACATTGATAAAGTCCTTCCAAATTCAGGAAATCTGTATGATGAAAACACATCATTAGAATCAAATACTAAAACAACTACCAGTTATACGGTAAGATCAAATGGCCTAGGTAGAGTCATCGAAGCACAAACTCCAACTACCATCAAACCGATACTAATCGAAAACATCATCGACTCAGATGAGAGTACAAGGTGCAGTGTATTGGGGAGCCCAAGTATGTTTACAACTCATGTAAATAACGGTTATGCTGCTTCCCAGGAAAGCTCTGTAGGAAGTCCTCATTCAGCTGTCTCTTCTCCAGTCAATAGTCCCTTCTCACCAACACCATCGACGAACTCTACACTGAGCATTGATACTCCAATGATGGTGTCACCAGGGTCTAGTATTATATCTTCAACCGGCCCTCCGTCAAACCTTTCATCTCACACTTCATTGGAAACCGGATATGAAACTGATGTGTTTCAACCAGTTGAGGAAGAAGAACCCTATACTCAAAGACATATTTCCCATCCTCAGATAACAGTGCACAATGGAGTTCAGAAAATTTTTTCAGAGGGAAAATGGTTTTGCTTAGTACCAGATCCATCTACGTCGTTCAACATGCCCCGTCAGCCGTCGCTGTCCGTTGTTGAAGACATGGAATATAGAAGGATAGAAGCCACTCATATAAATAAACTTACCGATAGTGATGAAGATGGTGACACGTAAGTACATTTTACCTTGGCTACACCTCTATTTTTAACCCTATTCCAATGAAAATAATGGCCTGTAGACTGGCTTAGGCTTTTCCACGAAACGAAACGTGAAAAAAAACGAAATGAAATTAAACCAAAATATGAAAGACTTCAAGCGTCGCCACATCACAGAAATAAATTAGTCAAGAATAGTTAGTTTACACTTCAATGCCTACTTTGCAGCTCCATTCATTTCTTCAATGACCTGACAGCCATTTTGGAATTGTTGAACACTGATGGCACTATTCACTTCGTGTTTCACAGTGTGAAATTTTCTCAGATATTATTAGACCAATGAATAAAATGCAAGTTAGGGTTAGGGTTAGGGTTTTGTTTCGTTTTGTTTCGTGGAACAGAGTAAGCCCTATAGACTCACACTTGTAAATTGATCATACTTTATTATTGTACCCATAGTATCTCAGACATTCCTGAGCAAGTCATTTTCAAACGTCTTCACATGTACCAGTACTTATGCACATGCATTGTTTTCACAATCCAATTCAAGATTGGTGAATGAGTTACGCTACATATGATGACTATATATAATATAGTTATGATAGTAATAATAAGTAGGGCTACTTATTATTAATTAGAATACATAATTGACATTTGAAACACACATGAGACAGAAATCCATATTTGGTGTTAAAAACTCATTCACACAATAAGTTACAAAAGATACTGAACATGTCCAACCTGTGCTTGTCAGTGGCAGAATTGTGCATTGAACTCAATTATGTTTGAATCATTTTAAATCTGGTAGCAAGAATTAAAATAAACAATTTTTTCAAGGTTTACCCAAATGATTTAAAACATTTTGTCTGCAGTGTGTCGTTACAATATATTATTTCAATTTTGTTTTCCAGAGCATTACACATTGCCACTGCACAGAGAAACACTCCATTATGCAAAGCTATGATATTTAAACTTGAGAGAGAAAGCAAAATTACCCTGGATGCACAAGACAATCTTGGTCAGGTACAACAAAATACAAATATTTTTCATCTTTCACATGACAGCTCATCTGATCATGTGACAGCTCATCTGATCATGTGACAGCTCAACTTATCATGTGACAGCTCATCTGATCATGTGACAGCTCAACTTATCATGTGACAGCTCATCTGATCATGTGACAGCTCAACTTATCGTGTGACAGCTCAACTTATCATGTGACAGCTCAACTTATCATGTGACAGCGCAACTTATCATGTGACAGATCAACTTATCATATGACAGCTCAACTTATGTGATAGCTCAACTTATCATATGACAGCTCAACTTATCATATGACAGCTCAACTTATCATGTGACAGCTCAACTTATCATGTGACAGCTCAACTTATCATATGACAGCTCAACTTATCATGTGACAGCTCACTTATCATGTGACAGCT